CCACAAAGCCACATCAGTGGTGGCTGTCATACTGCAAGCGACTTCGTTGAATCCGAGTTGAATCCAAGCAATTTTGAGATTTTAATGAATTATAAAAACAGAGAATCCGTCTCCGTACGTTAAATCCAAGTTTCACTGTAGTTATTTTTCTTTCATAGATACATGGGAAAGGGCTGTCCCCGTAGGATTATGCGATTGTGCGACGTTTTTTCGCGTAATTCTGCAACATTTGCATAATCTTGGATTGCCCGCCTTTTTTTTTTACGTGTTTTTTTTTTCATTTTTCACAAAACAATTAATTAACGCCTCGCCATGTGATTAAAGGGAAGTAATCAAAGTAATAAGGCTCGTTTAAGTGAAAAGTTGGTTATTTCCCTTGTTAAAAGATCTTTGATTTATCCATCAAAAGTTGTTCTCATGTCTGCTGATGTTTCATGTTTGCCAGGTGTCCCTGGTTTTAGTGATGTGCCAGCATCAGAGGTCCAGATGTCCTTTTTTTTTTTTTTCAGTTTTCTTCCCACAAAAGAATCTAGATTTCTAGATCTACAACTGAAAGTTACAGAAATTATATTTTTTGGTTGACTTTTTTCTGATTGATGTGTATTGTTTTCTTTCCAAATACTCAACAAATTACTGATACTGATAGATCTACGTTCTATTTTCTATTTTTCTGTACATAAAACATGAAAATTCTTGTTGAAAAAGTGCAAAACATGTCGCGAGTGGTGTTACGGTAACTCGCATAATTTTTGCATAATTTTCCATTTTTCTTGCATAATTTGGCAATCTAAATTTGCATAATTCTACAGGGACAGAAAGAGGGAGGGGCGCAGGGCAAATTGGAAGAAAGACGAGAAGAGACATTTCACAATACCTTAAAAAATGGACTCATAAATTGATTAATATATATATATTAACTACTATTAACAACTTTCTTACATTTTTGCTCAAAACCTTCACTGCCCATGCTTGACCTAGACCTTTTCTTTCGCATTTGTAGACACTTGAGGTAGCCCCCCTGAAAATTAACAGATTCAGAAACATATTTATTCCAAGACTACTGTTGAGAATTTGGTAAAATAGAAAGCCAGTCAATTTTTTTACCTGTGTGGAAAAGATATGAGCTTAAAAAAAGCAGTAGGTACCGTACAATTTCAAAGTGCCACAAACTGTACAGGAAGAGAAGAACCATAATAAATTGAGAGGAGGGAACACAGAATTCTACACTTATAGAAGCGGAACTCCCTCTTTGCGATCGCTGATTCGCTGTGAGGAATTGAAACTAAAACATGGCGGCCAGTTGAGGGCACCTTTGGCTGCTCCGCACAGCGAGGCTTCGCGTTGCTATGCACGCTGAAGCTAGTGGTAGGGCTTGGAAGACACCTTACATCAGTATTTTAAAACTTTCTTCGAAGAGGAAATATAGTGGAATAGTCTAGTACATTTTTATTGCCAACAATATATCACAGTTGGCAATGTTACAATGTTTTTGTATTTGTATTGTTGGTTTGTTGTTTTTTTAATGATGGGATGGGATCAAGATCTAGATCTAGATCTAGATAGATCTAGATCTGTAGATCTACTAAAGATCTTCACAATCACAATACACTTGATAATAACACTAATTATGAAAATTAATTCTGTTGGCAAAATATCTAGATATAGTCTTGATTAGTACTAGATCTACGATAAAGGGGACGCTGACAGTAACATGCTCACTACAATAATATTGTCATTAAACTTAAGGCCATCCAAAGCAAGCAAAAAAGAACAATATAAGCCTTTTCTCCAATTTACTAGAAAGAGATAAATAAATTGAGCTTATGTTGAGGAAATGTATTATTTCTCACTTTAAGAATTCATCTCTGTGTTTGCATCAGTAGTGTGTACAACATGCTTTGTTTAAAGCATGTGCGAGTCTAACAAATACAAGAGATTGGAGAATGTGTCGGTTGCACATAAAATACATAGAGGACTATAGTACATACTGCCAAAAACACAAAAATGCAGAAAAGGCCTCAAAATATTGGTTTACACATAAAAGCCAAAAATGCAAAACAAAGTAAACAAGAGTGGAACTGGCTATATGTTTCCTGAATATATGTTCAAAGTCATTTTCTGTGTGTTGGGAGTGTGATTTCTAATGCATGAATGATAGGCTCATTCAGATGTGATAATGAAGAAACTTGTGTCTACAGTCACAACAGAAAGAGTTCCATGGTGAGTGATCACTGGTCAAGGATTTCAGAGCTGTGTGCATTTTGAGAAAAATGTATCCCCATACCCTGGATCACATGTCGAGGGGATGGACTTGTCCCCCTGTAATCCCCGCACACAGTAAACAAACACATATTTTTTAACATGAATAAGAAAAATTAAGTGGTCTCTTGTTACGGATCAAATTGAAGTCCTGTTTCAATTCGATTAATTGATAAAAGTGCGTATCGCAATGCGTTGGCTACCCCTGCCCTAGGCCTATGCTATTTAATAAATACATTCGTCAGACTTGGAATCTTTAATGCCCGCACACAGTAAACAAACACACATTTTTCAACACGTAAGAAAAAATAAGTGGTGTCTTGTTACGGATCAAATCGAAGTCCTGTTACAATTCAATTAATTGATAAAAGCGTGTATCGCAAGACATCGGCTAACCCAGCACTATTACGCTATTTTATAAATACATTCGTCGGATCTGGAATCTTTAATCTTTAATTTTTAATCCCCGCACACAGTAAACAAACACACATTCATGAACACGTATAAAAAAATAAGTGGTCTCTTGTTACGGATCAAATTGAGGTCTTGTTACAATTCAATAATTGATAATAGCGCGCATTGCAATGCATTGGCTAACTCAGCATTATACACTATTTAATAATACATTCGTCAGATTTGGAATCTTAAATTATAATCATAATTATATGTGCCCGCGCGTGGGAAGTGAAAGTGAAAGGAATTGAAAATGCTTTCAAAAACAATTATGAAAGTAACATAATTAAAGTAGGAATACATGTGCTTTTAAAGGCCCAAAAAGGTGTATGGATGCTGAAATGAATGTTTCGGATGAAAATAATACGCTATCTCTACTACTGTAGCATGCGGTCAAAAATTTGATGCGCAACTTATTATCAAATATCTAGGCTACTGAACTATCGAACACTTAGATCTAGTTTCTCCTACTTTTACACAATGACTTAGATCTATATCAATTCGTCTTAACCGATGAGTATTTTTTTTCAAACATTTGTACACATCTATATTATTCTAGAAATCTCTTTAAAGAAAATTCTTTAATAAATACTAGCCCAATATTTTTTTTTAAATCCCAGTCAGTGGTTTCTACAGATTTTTAAAAAGTTTATAGCTGGAACTAAATCTCTTTTAAAAGCAAGTCCGTCCTTTTTTCTACTTCTGTTGGCGACATAAAGCTAATTATTGAATGCATGTTTTGAGAACATTAATTAGATCTAGTGAAAAAATATGTTCAGTGTAAAACAAATTTCTAGTAACAAGTTTTGCTACTAAAAAATTACGTAGGCCATATGCGTATGCAAAATGTGTGTGGGAAGCTAGAAGTGCCTAGAAGTGCTGTGAACAATCCCATCCGTGTTACGAATTTTTTCACAGTTCTTTAGATCTTATATTTATAAACTCTCTATGTCTGCCTTTTCTGTTGTTGCACCCAAAAACACAACAATTTAAAACCTTAATTCCAATTTCTAGGTTGCACAGTGAATTCTGTAACTCAAAATTACAAACTGGACAGTAAATGTTCCACTTTTCACTCGTTTGTAAAAGCCGCTCTTACTTTAAAAGCTATAGGGTTACTTCCGAAAACTATAAATCGTGCCCTCAAGACGCCCTTGTTTTCGGTCTTCAATTCCTCACAGGTCACGTGGTACAGTTCCCGTTCTATAAGTGTAGAATTCTGTGGGAGGGAATTAACCTTAAACAAGGTGGGGATGTAATCTTACTACAGTACTATGAATAGAGCTGTCTGCTCCATTAGTATAATGTGTATATTAGGCCTACCGGTAATCAAAATGAACAGAAAAAATGTTAGTTGAGTTCTGCCCTCTTTTCATTGTGGCAGTTTCATTTCAATGACAAATGTGAAGCATTGTGGTGGAATCAGGAGCTAGTCAAAATAATAAAATCAAAGAAACTGGCATTTTTCAGGCTGTTAGTTTTTTATCTTCTTTTTTTGGCTCAACATCTTTTACGTCAATTCAAAAACATTCCCTACGTTAATTTTATGGAAAAACATTGATCAAAGGCATAAAAAAAATGTAAAGCTTAGAAACTTACCAAACTTTGACTGCATTTTCTCGCTACTTTTACCTCAGAGGATCGACAGCCCCCCCCCTGACTTTCAACAGCAAACCACTGCACTTCTATTCAAGATTGATGGGTATTTTGTCCATCAAAAGCAAGACAAACGAACTAAGCTTTAAGATGATTTTAACAGCTATGTGTGCCCAGAAATTAAGGAGCGCCTGATATACTGCGTGATGACACAAATGTCTATAGACTTCAAAAGTACCCAAACCAAGGCGTGATTTTATAAACTAAAAGAACCTCAGGAAAAATTAAGAGTCAATATTTCTAAAAACTTCTAGCGTACAGTAGGCCTATATAATGTGTTGTTGACATACTTAGAAGAAAAGACATATGAAGCTACAGCCAAGCACCCAGCACACCTCTGTGATTGGCCCAATACATGACGTATTTCCACCATTTATTTTTGTCGTCTTCCGCGGCTTCCCTCGGCAGTTGACTAGATCTCATCATGGCGGGCCCGTTTTGCTGCTTCGCGTGAGAAGGGCTACGTCCTTGGCTACGTCACTAGGTTTCATTGCCAACTGCTTGGGCTGTGTGAGCATGCGCGCTCATGTGTGTGTGTGTGCATGTGTGTGTGTGTATGTGTGTGTGCGCATGCGCTTGTGTGTGTGTGTGTTGTACAACTTTCAGGGGAAGGTTAATCTATGGCTCGAGAA